TATAAAATGTGAGAGATTCTGGTGATTTTTGTATCGTTTTTAAAGAAAAAAATGACCCAAAATGAAAGTGTCCAAGAAAATATTTTAACACTGTAGATTTATAGAAGGTACTTGAAAGTCTAGAAAAAACTCTGTTTCCAAACTGCCAAGTCCTTCTCAGCCCAAATCCTGGTTGTTCACTTTTTGACTCAGGATCGAAAATGCGATTTTCTCTGCTTTTCAGGTAAAAGGGCATAACTGAGCTTAAAAATGTATTGAAACATAGGTTTTCACATCTGCCCTATCAACTGGCATCATTAAAAAATGGTTTTTGACAATTTCTAACCTTGGGCCTCTAAAAATCCAGGTTTTCTCGAAATCCTTTGCTGAGCTGGTTTTCAGAAAACTGAGCCGGCCATTTAATTCAGGGTGTCAAAACACGTATAATCGTACAATATGAAGCTTTATGTACTAGCCAAAACAATTCTAGAGATATGTTTGGGTGTGGGGCAAAAGTTAGGGGTGGGACATTTTGATGTATTTTTCAAATTTCTTCTTTTAGAAAGAAGCTGAAGCCTTGCTGTTTACAGCATAACTTGTGCTACCCATTTGACATATATGGTAAAAAACGAGTTCTCAATTCCATGTAGTTCGGTCAGGGGAGAGTCAAAAGGGGGTGGGACAAATTGTATGTCACAAGCTACTGGATGTCAGTAAAATGTCAATTACTCAAAAACGAAAAAACCGCTAGCAACTTGCGGTTTTCAACAATCTATAGTGCCTACTTTGGTAAATCCTTTCATAGAAAAATATTTGACTTAAAGTGCTTATTGGCTGCGCAGTAGACTCAAAAAGGTACTACGCAATCAATTATACTGATTCTGAATATACAAAAATCTCAAGATACGCTTTTCTAAAAGATAAACCAAATTTTCATTTAATTCTTATTTTCATGTTTCATTTCTACTTTATTTCATTTCCTACATAAAATTAATGTGATTATTCACTGAATAACTAAAGTTTGAACACATATTATGTCTGATTATCATGACCCGAAGAGAAAGCCGGAAAGTCATGATAGTGAAAAAGAGTTTATCTAGCTGCTGCATATAAAAGAAGAACGTATGATTATTTTGATATGTTCTCTGAAAATTCTTTTGAACTTTTCATGCGTCGAAATCTACTTTTCGAGGACCAGAAATTCCATCGAAGTTTTCACAGAAACTAAAAGAGATTAGGCAAAACTAAGACTGCAGATTGACAGAGCAGGTAAAATACTGCACAAGAAGCAAAAAAGATTTTGTTCCACTGCCCCTTAAGAAAAAGAAAAATGTTAATTAAGAAAAAAGAACGTGCAGGAACCACTAAGAAAAGAAAGGAAAAAGAACCCAAAAACAAAGTGTTTTGCTTACTGTACACTAAGGAAATAAGACAGAAAAGAGATCTTAGCAGTATATATAGAGTAAAGTGTCCGGAATAAAATGGCATAAGCTTCTAAAAGTTCGATTTAGTATTAACGGAGAACCATGCATTTCCATTAGCTTAAGTCGAACGGTACAAAAATCACCAGAATCACTCATATATAGTGGTCTTGACAAATGTTTGTAATAAATGTCGACAGTCGTATGCGTATTACAAAAGGTGCAATCCAGAATTTCAGAGATTTTTAGATCGAGTTGTGAAAGATTTTGCTGAAGATGATGCAAAAGATGATCAGGTAAGTGAAACATTAATGATTATTTCTTTAACGTTATGCATAGTGTCAAGTTATTGTTAGATACAGGTAGAAGATATGGATATCAGCTTTGATTCTTTTGCAACAAATTAATACCACAAACGGTCTCAAACTGTGGCAGAGGTTAATGAACCATCGTGTATTACATTACTAATGAATTGCACGATATCATCTCATCCGTAAGTTATATTTCTGATCAATTGGGTGTATAGTGTTATTTCATTCAAAGGTATATAGTTATACGGTTGTTTAGAATTGCAATGTTTCTCGATCTCATATTCATCGCTCATCAACGACTATAGCAGTTGCAGATCGAGATATGATATTTGTAACCAAAAATGTAATTAAACCTGAAGGTTCAAGATGTTGTCGTAAACACTTAGAACATCATCGTTTAACGCCCACTGCAATAAATATAATTAGGCCACAGAAGATAGAAAAAATCTCACTTAAAGCGAGTGATGTCCAGATATTGATAAATAAGTCTCAGATACTTTACGATTAACGAAAAAAACAATAGAAAGCCGCGGTTTTCAGTTTTAGAGCGCAGAATCTGGGTCTATCCGTTTATGGAAAAATAAGTTCAGAAATACCACTTGCAGGCGGAAAGCCTCTTCAAAACTTACTAAACTTGACCAAATATTCAGCAGATGTGTAGTTTTACTCGGACAATCATTAAAACAATTAGTCTGTTTATAACCAGCAGCACAGAATTGAGCAGGAAGCGTTGACTACTGAAATATTAAACGTATTATTTTGTAATTATAATATGCAAATTGATTAGCTTCAAGATAAGGTTCAATAAATGGTGTAATTGAATATGATTCAAAATATTTGTAAAACAAATACTCCAGAACTAGAACATTTATCTCTGATATGTTTAAACAAGCACATAATAAGTGAACCATTATCATTCGAATAATCAGTCGTCCTACTTCGCACGACTGCTTCGTGAATCGTTTTCTTTGATAAAATTCTCAATTTTTCATTCCCATTGACCTGTTTTCATTGTTCGCATATTTTCTTTTAATTCACACACATGGAATGCATCTTGATAATTATTACAAAGCGTTTCATTTCAAAATCGTTCATTCCATTCAATACACTGACCATCACCACACACATTATTTGGCTGAGAAAAAAATTAATTACTTAAAAAAAATATTGCTAAATTTTGGAACAAGGGATTATTATTAAAAAAATTCCTGTCCATCCTCCATTCATCAAAAAAGCTTGGTTCTTTCCTAGATCGATAGAGAAATGTGTGAAAAATATTTATTACGAGAAAATATGCAAGAATTTTTGTTCTTTCCTTCCTGGTATTGACTAATTAATCCTAATTAACGTTAATTTAGCCTACTCCACTAGCATAAAGTCTTATTTGTAAAATAGCAACTCAACGAAAAGATCCAAGCACTATCTCATCTGACAGAGAATTTCACGGGCTACAGTATAGACTACCTTAAACATTTTAGAAACCGTTTTTGGTCACTCGGTAAGTGGAAAATTTAACAATATTGTACAAGTAATTAATTTTTTTCTCAGCCAAATAATTTCATTAAGCCGAAAAAACTTCCGAACGTACACTTCGAAGTATCCTCTACAAACCGGGAAGGCTTGAAGAAAAAATTCAAAACTTGAACATATCGCTGGTTTTTGGCTCACCGAAGATTCTTTTACCTAACCTTACGGCTAGTTTCGCCCGAACCAAGCATTTTGAAGCAAAACTCTGAGTACAAAAGTTGTTCAGAATCGAATTTTGGAGTCCCTGACGAGAGCTTTTTTTAAAATTTTCTCTTTCTGACTTTTAAATTAAATTTTAGGGTTTTTAAAATTTAAAAATTTCCTATTTTTTAATTTAAAAATCAAAAACAAAAAACTTTAAAAAAAGCATATTCCACCGGATACAGCACCACGAACCAATAATTTTGCGGCTTCGATTACTGTTACCTCACGAAGGGAACTAACTTCATTTAGTTTTAAATCAGATGAAACTCGATGAAACTTTCACCCCTGAACTTGAACTTGATTTTATTTTACAAACAAAGCTGACTTTACAAAAAAGAGAGCAGCTATAGGAAAGCAGAAAAAGCAAAAAATACTTATACACACTGCCACCTGGAGTAACAACACCACAAGAGAGAGAATATACGCTTACATCTATAGATACACTCTTTTTACAGAGTAGAGTACAGAAATAAAACAAACCCACAGAAAACGCCGTATACGCGATTGCAACTTTACCAAATTTGCATGCAACTCTAAAAATGAAATCAACATCTTTTTTATCCTTTGAAAGAATAAAACATAGCAGCAGTTTAACATCAATATTTGTTCGAAAAAAAAAAGAGGAGGCGGTCGTATCTACAACACACATAATCTTTTACAAAGAGACTAGCTATAAAAGCACTATACTCGGAATGCAACTTTAATTTCTCGTCGTTCTTTTCTCTACTCTAATGTCCCAGTACAAAGATTAAGCGTGTGTTAATACTTTAAATACTGACCAAAGGAAGAAAACTTATTTGGGAATTTCGCGCTACAGTTTTCTAGAATGAATGAATATTTCTCCATCGAATGAGCATAGAATCAAGCATTCAAGCGTTCTTCCAGTGCCACCGGTCATTCTTCACAAATGTCCTTGCTGTTCAGAAATCGGCTGATCGTGACAACAGAATCACCATTACAAATGGCAGTAGTCGCTTATCGAAAGATGAAGTTAAACGCACGGTGTCAGATGCTGAAACATACCAAAAGAACATGAAGCAAAACGCGATCGTACAGTTGACTAATCTATATCATCAGTCTTACTCTGTAAAGCTAGATGGTCCCTTCTCAGACTTACCTACCTTTTTTTACTGTGCGCTATATGGATAATATCACACATCAATTTTCGTTCCTCGCCCTACACTTTCACCTTTTCATACATTGCATCAGGTAATTTTGTCAATCTGAATCTACTATAGCCATTGCAATAGAAAAGAAAGAAAAGAAAAATTAATCATCATGATGTAACGAAGCAATGGGAGAAGAAGAGAAAGAATATCAGTGCCTCGTATTGCATAGTGTGTTACTGTAAAACCATCGGGGAAGAACGTCGATATTGTCGAACATACGAGAATCAGAAAAAAAGTACAAGTTTCCGTATATAAGTCAAATGACAAAACACCTAGAGCATATTAAAAAATAAACATCAGTTTGAACAGTTGTGTGCACACTATTTCGTGTCAATCTCTCTATACCTAGTTTTTAATTATTATTATTTAACAACACCAGAACAACAAGAATGGCTCGGGCGATTGGTATCGATCTTGGTACAACTTATTCGTGTGTTGGAATATTTCAACATGGCAAAGTGGAAATCATTGCCAATGATCAAGGAAATCGTACAACACCGTAAGTACAGTGTATAAAATGTTTGTTTATGAATTCTCTAAATTTATTCTTTGTCAAAAGGTCGTATGTGGCGTTTACCGATTCAGAACGTCTAATTGGAGATGCCGCAAAAAATCAAGTGGCAATGAATCCAAATAACACTATTTTTGATGCCAAACGATTAATTGGACGAAAATATGATGATCTAACCGTACAAGCCGATATGAAACATTGGCCGTTCACTGTTATCCAGGAAGGTATGTGAATCACAGTTTCATAGAAGTATTATAACCAAGTTAACAGATGATTAGTCGTAAAGAAACCTGTAAGTGTTTCACATGAAGGTCAGATAATATCTCTTGTTTGATCTGAAGTCAAGAGCAAAAGAGATCAAATGCGTCAGCTGCAAGCTGAAAAAGACTGTTTTGAAAGCATTAAATTCTCTAAATTGTTTAGCAATATCCATGGAATTATTTCAACAGGCTTTGCTGTAATTTTCGCTAATAATCATTCCAGAGTTCAGAGATCAGCGTCCGGAATCAAAATATCAACAAAGCCTTCGTTGAACGTACAGTAAACTAATCTGTTGAGGAAAGACAGAGAAAATATTTTTCTAATTATTTAATAGCACTTTTCGTATGACGCTGTTTATGAACATCTTTCTTCTTTTCTAGGTGGAAAACCAAAAGTACAAGTTGCATATAAAAACGAAACAAAGGCATTCACACCAGAAGAAATATCATCGATGGTGTTAACGAAGATGAAAGAGACAGCCGAAGCTTATTTGGGTATTTACATCTTATGATAGCGCTGTGATTCTTATGCATGAATTTTCTTTTATTGTAGGCAGAAAAATTAATGATGCTGTTATTACTGTACCAGCCTATTTCAATGATTCACAACGGCAGGCAACAAAAGATGCTGGTGTTATTGCTGGCTTGAATGTTTTGCGAATCATTAATGAGCCGACGGCAGCTGCGCTTGCCTACGGTTTAGACCAAAAAGTAGATAGTGAAAGAAATGTCTTGATTTTTGATTTGGGTGGTGGTACATTTGATGTGAGTGTGCTAAAAATTGCGGGAGGTATATTTGAAGTCAAATCGACAGCTGGTAATACCCATTTAGGAGGTATGTAGAAATGAGATTTGCCTCGTTGTTCAAAATGTTTTCTGTTATAAATATGTATTCATTTTCAGGCGAAGATTTTGATAATCGAACGGTGACGCACTTCATCGAAGAATTTAAACGTAGAAACAACAAAGATTTATCCCAAAATAAACGTGCTCTTCGTCGTTTACGAACAGCGTGTGAAAGTGCAAAGGTAAATATTTGACTAACAATTTGATACTAAGATTCATTTCGAAAAATTTTATTTTAAATTTATCTAGAGAACATTATCATCAGCATCTCAAACATCAATTGAAATTGATGCAATACACGAGGGTATTGATTTTCATTCATCAATCACTCGTGCTCGATTTGAAGAATTGAATGCCGATTTATTTCGTTCAACATTGGAACCTGTTGAAAAGGCATTGCTTGATGCTAAAATGGTAAGTTAACATTAAAACAAAGATGTGTATGCCAATGACATCATTTCTTCTTCTAGGACAAATCACATATTCATGAAATCGTTCTAGTCGGTGGAAGCACACGTATTCCAAAAGTACAAAAAGTCCTGCAAGATTTCTTTAATGGAAAAGAATTAAATAAATCAGTTAATCCCGTAAGTATCATTAAGGAAGAACATATAAAACTGATTTTATTATTTGCTCTCTGATTTAGGATGAAGCTGTTGCTTTTGGTGCCGCTATTCAAGCTGCCATTTTAACAGGCGATAAGTCGGAAAAAATTGAAGAAACATTATTGTTAGATATTATACCGCTATCATTAGGTATTGAAACAGCTGGTGGTGTAATGTAAGTAATATGAAATAAAAGTATGACTCAAACTTACCGTTGTTCTGTCGTTTAGGACACCGGTGATTAATCGAAACGCATCTATCCCAACTAAACAAACACAGACATTTACTACCTATTCAGATAATCAGTCGAGTGTTGATATTAAAGTATTCGAAGGTGAACGATCGATGACAAAAGATAACAATCGACTTGGTAATTTCGAATTGTCAGATATTCCGCCTGCACCTCGTAAGTATTCATATCGTCTTTTGTAAAAGTGGACCGTCTTTATCTCGTGTGTTTGATGTCTCATAATTGTATTTCTGCTCTGTTTCAGGTGGTGTACCCAAAATTGAAGTAACATTCGATATTGATGCGAACGGCATATTAAATGTGCTTGCTATTGAGAAATCAGCTGGTCGTGAAAATAGAATCACCATTACAAATGACAGTGGTCGATTATCGAAAGATGAAGTTAAACGCATGGTGTCAGATGCTGAAACATACAAAAAAGAAGATGAAGCACAGCGTGATCGTATAGCTGCGAAAAATACCCTGGAGTCCTATTGCTTTAATATGAAAACAACAATGTAAGTTATACTTTGTAGTAACTATAGCGACATTCTATTCTTTCGTTGTCTATGTTTTTAGGAATGACAGTACATTAGTAGCAAAAGTTAATGGTGATGATAAAGCAAAAGTTACAGAATCGATTGATGGTGCATTGAAATGGTTAGCAGCGAATCAATTAGCCGAAAAAAATGAATTTGAACATAAATTAAAAGAATTAGAAAAACTATGCTCGCCTATTATGGCCAAATTATATCAAAATGATGATGGTGCGACTGGAGAATCGGGTCGAACTGCTAAGGGTAACAGAGGCCCGACAACTGAAGAACTGGATTAAAAACTTCAACAGTAACATTCCCATCATAGTAAACTCGAATAAGAATAACATTCAATGTCTGACTATTTGTTTTTTCTGTAATAAGATGACAGAAAATATTTTGTAAAAATAAAGAGCAGCTAAAGACTTGATCAATAGTCTATAGATTCGATTCTGCTGATCACGCATGTCACTAATGAACAAAATACTGTTTTCTTTGAGAAAACGAGCTTATCAGGTGTAATCTGCTGATTGGTGTTAGTGGTTGGATTTTGACTGTTAGTAGCCGCTAACGAGAGAACATTCCCAAATGTTATCTTCCGTTCTGACTCATTCATATCTCAATCGATAGAATACATCGAGATATTAAAAAGCCTAAAAGGATTTTCTTCCATGGCTCTTGAGGGCTCGGACAAAACCTTTCTTAATGAAGCATTAATGTAGCCCGCGAATGTTTGATTAACATGAGATATCTCCAAGCTCTACACGACCTTTCTTGGAAAGTTATTGAATTTACAAGAAAACACCTAAGTGTTATTGTCAGATCAAAGGTACAGAAACAAGTAGAAATTTGGTTCTTAGATTCTTGGTCACTTGCATGTTGAAGGTTGCGAACAACAACTACTATCCTTTTCAATGAACCGCGCAGTCCGATGTTTTGCTTATAACTTTTTAACGAAAAACACGATAGAGAGCTGCGGTTTTCAGTTTGAGAGAGTAGAATCTGGAGTCTATCCGTTTATGGAAAAGTAGGTCCAGAAATACCACTTGCAGGTGGTGAGCCCCTTCAAAACGATTTGCAGAAACCTTCTCACCCTTGAAGAAGTTTTGGATTTTCGATTTGAATGCTACCTACAAATCTGGAGATTTGGAAATGTCAAAAACACTCGAGACAGCGGTAATCAGCTATTCTGATCATCATGGCATTATTTATTTTCATCTTCAGATCAAAGGAACTTCAGTTGACCCGTTACGAAGAAGAATTTCCCATCATATGTTTATCCCACACCAGTGTAGCTTCAACAAATAAATCATGTAAAATTGAAAATCTACTTTTGATCGAATATCTGTTCGGCGACCGCGACAAAACATCCCTATTTGACTTATGCCTCGAGTACATTGACTCATACTTCTGGCGAAATTCTTGTAGAGGAATATTCTGTTGTATCTAAATGTTCGTGCGAACCTGAAAGTTTAGATTGGTTTTCAACATGCGAAGAGCCGAGGAACCTAATGCTTTCTAGAAATTGTGTTTCATTTTTTTTTGATTCGTTACGAATAAGAATTCTTCATTTCATCGGATAAAGGTAAATCACTAGTTGTTCTTCGCAACCTTTATGGAAAGAAATTGATTAGACAGAATTTGCACAAAACAATATATCAATATTTATCAAAATGTTACACACTAACAGAGATTCACATACGCATAGACAGGAGGAGAAAAGCTGAAATAGTAATAACAATAACGAAAACAGGAATTGTGCACTTGAATCGACCTTTCGAAGTGGCGAAGTTTCGTCGAAACGTTGGCGTTTTAATGAAAATATACCGGTTTTTTCAAAGGATCGTGGTCGTGCTCATATGATTTCTGCTTTTCTTGTTCGGTATCCTATTGGACCGTTCGTTTAACTTAATGGACATGGATGGAAACAAGCTATTAAGAAATATAAATCATTAAGTGCTTATGGGGATGTTAATTATCTTGATCGAACAGCAACAGCCAGTATTAATATTGGAACGGATGCCTAAGGCATTATGGAGGATTTGCGTTTACCGCAGATCAATTTCTTTTCCCACTTGCGCCATCGCAAATCAAGAAGTGTGTTGCAAGTGCGAAATTTCCAGAATTCCAGTGCAAATCCAAAATATTGCAAATCGAGAAGTGTTATGCAAGTTGAATAACTGTCTTTAAACCACCTCCACGTTGTGTATCGGTTGTTGTTGTTGCTACAGGTGTTTGATCTAAAAATAAGCAAAAAAATTAATTGTTAAGTTGGAAAATAGATTTAACCCTTTTTTACTTACCGCTTACACCATTATCACTTCATTTGTTTTGATTGTTGTTTTTGATGACCTTGATCAAGCGATTTAAGTTTGAATTGTCTAAAACAAGAGAGAAAAAAGGCATGGATATAGATTAGAGAGCACATTATGAACAGATGGTAAAAGGACGGCACTTGTAAGGCTTGATTTTTTTAATTTGCCAGGAAACAATTGAAAGTTTACGAAAGCAGAACTTTTTTAGTCAATGATAACAACAATTCATGGACTAACGTATTTGAAGACGAAGAGACTTTCAAGACGGGTTTTGGAGCTGTTGTTGGAGGAGGAGCAACTGGAATTTGTTGCGTTGTTGCTGCTTTTGGTGTTGTAACTGAAGACAAAAGAGAAACAGATGAAAAGACGTGTTAGAAAGTTAATAATAGAGGGTTCATGCTTAAATCGTCACCAACATTTTTATCATTATGTCGAACGTCATTTTCGTCGTCGTCTTCAGATGAACTTGACTCCGTATTTTCGAAATGAACAAGTTCAAAAAAGTAAGATAAAAAAATAAAACAATCAGAGGAGGTAATAGGAAGTTACGTTCAACTTGTAGATAATCTAATACCGGATCAATTTTCTCACATTACACGGTCAAGTATTGCAGTAGAGCTGGGTAATCCGGCTCAACGGAACTATTCTCACATTACACGGTCAAGTATTTGATAATTTTTACCAAAAATGTATTTGTGAATGGTGAACTTGATCTGCAAGATAAGAATATCAATAACTTTCACGCCATTTTGCAGACAAATGCTTAAACGTTTTCCACAAAACTCGTGATTCAAAGATAAGCACCGATGATGACGTTGAGGGTAGTGACTAAGAACTGATTTTATTGTTACTTCTTTTTTCATACATGCGATTAATTGATAGTAATTTAATACATGATAATAACACATGATCAACCAGCGGAACACCAAGCTGGGGGCTACAAATATTTCACCATTTAATCTGGGAATAATTCATCAGATAGCCATCCGCTTTTTGGACAAGATACTGCATTTTTTCACTTTCTCTCTCCAATGTATCTCAGTGAAGATGTTACGATAGCGATATAAAAGATATACCATATTTCGGTTGCATTTTCAATAAGGCATGTATAAGTATCACCCATCATTGCGATCAATAGATTCAATAGTAAAACGGTAACAACGGCAACATAAATAATTAGTAGTGGAACACTAAGGTACTGAAATGTTGTTTCGGCAAAATAATCAATATCAAAATCACCAAGCATGGCAGCAAAACACAGTTTTACACTTTTTAAAAAGCCACTACTGTCTGAAATGAGAAATAAAAATGAAATAAATAAAGGTAACGATCATCCACACAAACCGTTATTATTGAATAAAATAAAAAATGCTTGTGAAAATCCGGCTAAAAACACCATGTAAATGATACAAAAACGTAGAACGTCATTGAACAACATTTGATGAATTATAACAATGAACGGACCCGTTAAGCGAAATGCCATGACAAAAAATAACATATAACCCCAACCAATAATCGAGGCTAGAGCTAATATAGTTGATTGTGTTTGTGTATTAAACATTCGTAAAATATTCACCAAAACAATGCAAAGACGAAAAGTACATGTCACACAATTTTTAAGTAAACTAGAACCCTACAAAAACTGAAAATGAATAGATGTTTGATGAATAACGTGTATACACATTGCGTGCAAAAGTATGCATAAACAGGAAAACATTATAATTGACTTTGATGTATTTTTGAACACTTATAAACAATCAAAATTTCCTTTTGTTTTCTTCTAGATATTGTTGAAAAAGTGAGACGAGTGAGTGTGAGTATACATTGGATTGATGCGCTCCATATCGTGCAATGCATACAAGAAGCATAACGGAGAAGCCTCTATTAACAATCGATTCAAGAAAAGTAGAGTGCAGTATTTTATAGAGAGTTTGACACACTCATACAATTAAAAAACTTTTTTTGAAAATTAAAACTAATTTTTTCTGACTCAGCTCGGTATCCTGTATCCAACTATATATAAATATATCAAAAAGAAAAAGTTACTGAAACTTCGAATAATGGGGCGGGATAACTAGGTATGCACCGGGTCGAGCTACGCGAGTTCTAACTGTCCGAAAATTAAAATCTGTTTTTTTCTAATGAATGTTATTCTCAGGTCTCCACATTACAGAGGATCTCACACTTTTATACTATTTTGCATGTTAACTTCATTTTACACTTTACGCAAGTAATCTGAACTCTTACGTCGCTTTAATATTTTCTCATAAGAAAAATTTCGTTTTGCACTTAGGGTAAGACATTTTCGATTATTCGAGATACGCTTGGCAAGTATGAATTATGAGACAACACGGCATAAACCACTGAACTGAGGAACTCACAGAAGTATGCCTTCGCACTGTATACTCATCATGTTCTCGGATAGACTTCTGTAAAAGCTTCAACACCTTACGAAAAGCTATCACTGTTGAATTTGTAAAGCTCCTCGCTGTCGCAGATGCATTTGAGATATAAAAGAGAAAAACGCTAACTGTATAGATGTGCACAGATATCATATGATACCATCCAGTGTATCCTATGACGAACGTCTAGAAACTTAGGATTAGCATTTTAGGGGAAATTCTTCCCCTCTACCTTCTAAGACTATCAGCATCATAGCTATTTCAAGACAGTCGTAGCTTCAAAGAAAATTTGTAAAACGAGAAAGATCACAAAACAGGCTTATTTTGCAGAAACATGCTCTGAAAGACGTCTTCCCGTCCTCCCTGTCCCAGGTGCCAGTTTTACTCTCTTATCTACCCGGCTAATGCTCTTTATTGAATATTCCTGAGTATGAGATAAATTTATCGAAAAGCCTAAGACTCGCTCCATTAAACTTATGTTAGTTGATTAGGAAGACTTTCGCACGTGCTAACGACTAAAACTGCACATGTTTTAACATATTTAGGAGCTTTGATAAAATCGTCAACTAAAAAGAATGAAAACTATGTCACGATTCTCCTCTTCACGCGTTTATTTTCATTGTTTTTCTTTGGCAAACTGCTAGTTCATGATTTTATTTCTACAGTTCTGAGCTTTACGATATTTTTTTCTTGGTTTTAAATTCACACTTCTTAAATTGACGGTTTTATTTTAGGGTTTTCCTTCGATGATTCGAAAGTGAACGGTTTTGTTTCTATGGTTTTAATCTTTACGATTTTACTTGCGTAGTTTTTCTTCTATACTTTTGCATTTTACGGTTTTCATAACGTAGTTTTTTACTTCGTGGTTCTTCTACACGGTTTTCTTCGATGGTTATGGATTTTACGGCTTTTCTTACAGTTTTTTTTTCGCCGTATCAGAGATGGTTATTTTGAATGCTTTAAAAGCGAATTAGTTAAAAATAACCACAAATTGATTTGAGTTCATAAAACGTACTCACCGACGCGTTCATATACTGTTCAAGTCCAATTTTGACCATTTTATTCAATTCATTTCTTCCTTTTTTCAATGCCCCCATTAAAACGATAGCATTTCCAATTCTGCTGAAAACTGTCCGCCTCGCAAAAGATTTCCTTTTGTTTTCTTCTAGATATTGTCGAAGAAGTTAGACGAGTGAGTGTGAGCATACATTGGATGGTTGCATTGGTTTTATAGTTTTGTTACTGATGATTGTGAAAATATATCTCATTAAACCGGTTCTTCTTGACTTTGATCACTAGCCACAACTCGTACTGTGTCTGAAAGAAAACAACAAAGAAAATTTAATGTGATTATCTACATGTAATCCAAAAAGAATAAAATTTAAAATACATCTATTGTGATAATCCTTTCCTTTTTTAATGATATAAATGACTTATACTTCTTCCCAGCGAAAAATACGAACAGGGCGTCTGTTTTACTATGCTGCGTGTATTCATGTACTGACCTGTCCGACTAGAGATCAGTTTAATGATCTATGCTCCAATATACAAGCACCAATTTTGAGGCATACAAACATCGGATCATTAAGAACTGCAGTAATCTGTCGATTAGTTAAACCTCGTCCCGGTCTAGGTAATTCAACATTGTGTACATTATTCGGAATAGAAAGGAAAAGCATATCGCAAGAATTTTAGAAAGTGTCACCGCTGCATTAAGATAATTTTTTGTACCGAAACACTTGGACTTTGAACATATTTATACAAGAATAAACCATGAGTTAAACCTATGATGTGTGTTTCAACCGATGGTTATATAATTGCAGTATTATGTCCTTTCTTTGCGGACAGAAAAAATAACGGCTCAAAATAACTCAAACTTAGAAGACCATGGACCAGACTGGATTAGAAAATAATTTTGGATCCACTTGAATCGTGGAAAAACAGATTGTTTTTGCGTTGTGGACTGGACTAGACTGCTTCTTTAGAGTCCATGAGCTGCAAAAACTGTTTTTCATGGACTCGGACTGAACTAGACTTAGAATTTTGAGTCCATACGGAGCTCTGGTGCTGAATAGTATGATTGAGAAGATTAAAGATTACTTTGCAATTGTATATGCTTTAATTAACTGTTATCGGTCCGTTTTTGTAAAGATACGAGTCACGAGAAAGAAATTGGTGCGACATTATCATTTGATTTTCTTAAATTACACGTCATCTGAACCTGATATTGTTTAGGTCTTAAATAAATTTTCCATTGCTGAAAAAAATTCAACAAAGTACCATCAGGAAAACAACAGAAGCTAATTTTTCCAGTAAAACAATTAGTATGACAAAACCTCGATCGTCCCAGAGCAATTTTTAGCACATCTTGCAAAATGCACTATAGTACATTGAAATACAACCGACGGCGCAGGTTGAAAATGCTCAGTAATAGGTACCACTAGAATTAGCATATTCATGAAAATTGTTTTAAACATGATTTTCATTTGTATAAAGTCATGCTCCATCATCAATAGCTCATAGCATGTTCAGAAAGCCGTTTAAGAATTGGTAGGATATTAATAGTCGGGTGTAGGAAATAAGTAGGAAATAATTGTATTGCTGTCTGTCCACAGACAGAGTGGACTCGATTATTTTTTCAATAACTTTTGATAGAGAGCCCGGTTTTCGGCATTCGAAAGAGGAGACTCCGCGGCATGATTCTATAAACAAACATCTTTTGTTTTTAGAAAAGATTCAAAACGCTAGTGGAAAACCAACTTTTACGAAAATTAAGATTTCCAGTCTCTTTTCACATAATATTGAAAAATTCACTATTCACTCAGAAAATCGAAGAACGAGTTGGAAACATCAGGATGTGGTCAGTTTTGTTCACTAAACGTGATTATATCATGGAAAAAATTGAGAAATCATCTGTAAGTCTACGAGTTTTCCAGAAACTTTTGCATAGAGTTTTGTAAATTCTATTTTGTACATTTCTTATAAATAAAATATAAAATAGTCTAAGTACTGTACATCCTGATGTTTACACCATTCTGTGTAATACAGTCCAGTGTCCTCTATAATTTGAGACCGCTTTCAGCTCTCTACGATGAGATATGAAATTATTCAATACTGTTCAATACTGAAAAATTTGATGCCTGCTCCGCGCTGAACCAAATTGGGTGGGTGCAAAATATCTCGGTAAATCCGACAGCAGCTTCCTTTTAATTACATTTCGACTTCTTAATATACAGAGATGGGCGAGTACGAGTATCACATCTACAATAGCTAATCATTGCATACCATGTGTAATGAGTGATAAAATTACTAAGCACTATTAAGGAACCGCCCATGGTGATTTTCGGCCAAAAAATGGGTTTTGAAATACGCGCATGAAAAGATAGCCTGAAGTGTCGAATTTCAGAATTTGTATCGCTTTTGGTCAGTAGTAAAAGTGCTTTTTCACGGATTATGAGCAGGTTTTCTAGGAGCCTCGAAAAACCGAGTCTTCAAATACTAGTATTTTCCTGGATATTTATGCAATTAGAATTTTTCTGAACGCACAGATTTGTAGAGCTAACGTTTCTGATCAAAATAAGAGCTCGTACAACGCTCTTTGACCCTGCATCAAAAGTTACAGGCATTTTTCTAGCGGCTCTAAAACTGAGCATTTTATGCAGCGTTTTTTCTACATTGAAGTTATAGCTGAAGTGTGTCCCAAGGATCGAGTTCGAGTGAAATTTATTTTTCAATCTTTTATACACCATTCGATAGCCCTTTTCACGGCGAGCAAGAATATGTGTTCCCAGGATCTGTCCGAGACTTCTTTCCAATTGAAAAATCGAAAAAAATTGAGCGCGGTCGAAAACGGGAAAAAACGACCTCTATTATCTCGTCCTTTACAGAAAAAAACGAGATAGAGGTCGTTTTTTCGCGTTTTCGATCACGCTCAATTTTTTTCGATTTTTCAATTGGAAAGAAGTCTCGGACAAATTCCGGGAACACATATTCTTGCTCGCCGTGAAAAGGGCTATCGAATGGTGTATAAAAGATTGAAAAATAAATTTCACCAGAAGTCTGCTTTAGGTACATCTTACTGATTATTTTAAGTTACGTTTAAGTTATGTTCATTTATCAACGGTATTATTTCGAGGTTCAACATTACGATTGATAGCAG